GAAAATTTTTAAAATCTGACAATATCCACGCCCACATCCCATATAACGGTAATTTGAAGAAATACGAAATCTTCGATAAATTAAAAAATACCGAAGCTAATTTATTCAAAATTGATGTTTGTAATAATTCTTTAGCACAAGATACGTTTATGATAAAATTTTGGTAAATGGGCGTGGCACCGCCCACTTATGACAACATACATACAGTTGTCCACAAAATAATAGGAGTGGGATATTTTAACCTGTTTTGGCTATGTGTCTTTAGTTTATTTAATGTTTCGCATTTTTTTGTAAAAGCCTAGCTGGTAATACAACAAACACCATATAAATTTACATTTTCAAGTTTGTACAAAAATTATAAAAATTCTGCAAATTTTCACCAAAATTTCAAACTATTTAACCAGAATCTTTAGAAAATATTTTGGTAATTTTGAAAATTCTGGTATGCAGTTTTATAGCCCATTCAATTCTAGTCTGAAGAAGTGCAAGTTTCAAGCTGCTAAGAAATTCCGTTGATTTTTGAGAATTTTTTCGGTTGAAGGTGTTTCACGTTTTTTCCATACAAAGTATGTTCGACAATTTTCTTTTATATGGGGACAGTGCCAGCAAAAAAAATTGCCAAAAATCAACGGAATTTTTTAGCAGCTTGAAACTTGCACTTCTTCAGACTAGAATTGAATGGGCTATAAAACTGCATACCAGAATTTTCTCTGAAGATTCTGATTAAAAAGTTTGATATTTTGGTGAAAATTTACAGAATTTTAATAATTTTTGTACAAAGGTTGAAATCTGAATTTATTCGTTGTTTGTTGTATACCCAGCTTGACTTTTTTATAAATATAATAAACATTAAATAAACAAAAGACAAATAGCAAAAACTGACCAAAATAACGCACTCCTATTATTTTGTGGACCACTGTATGTGTATCTTGGTAACCGTTCGAGCAATTTGTATCAAACTCGGAATGATTATTGCGCCTGCCATATAAAAGCAAAACGCTGGAATTATTGAAATCGGACTAAAATTACGCCCACTTTTTATATAACTGTAAATTTCAGAAATGCTTGAAACTTCGATATTTGGAAATTTAAGGACGCTAATTTACACAAAATTGATACTAAAAACAATCCCTTGAAAATAGCTAACATTTTTATGGAATTTTGGAAAATGGTCGTAATACCGCCCACATATAACTATATAAGTTTATCGAAGCTGTTTGATATAGGGATAAAATCACCCCTGCTTACCATCAGTGTTGCCATTTTTGTGCTTTTGGAGCTAGATTTAGCTCTTTAGTTTTCTATTTAGCTCCGAATATCGGGTTTTAGCTCCTAGCTCTTTTCAAATTTATGTAGCACTTTTTTAGCTGCAGAAAGTTTTAATTGTATTTAGTGTATATAAGCCAAAACTTAGGCGTTGATAAAATGGGAAATTTCGAGGTGCTGTGTATCCACCATAAACTCTTGGATCTAGGTTAAAGAATTCAAAAATTAATTAAAAGAAAATCCCTTTTCTGATAGCGCGGATTTTGTTTTACTTTACTAATTTTACCTTTAAGGAGAGTTGGAGGTAAACCTTTCCAGAAAAATTTTGCGAAAAAATTATTCAATTCAAATATCTGAAATTACTGACTTTAACAGTTTGTAAAGTATTTTTAGTTCACTATTATAAGTGTCATAGCAAAGGTTTCGAAATATATGCACCTTATTTTGGTTTTAAAAGATTTTTTCAGCACTTAAACTTATAAAATTCGTTTTCTTTTTAATATTTTTTATTGAGCTTTGTACCACGATTGTTTATTAGGAAAAATTGAAAAAGCAACAAAGTCTAAGCGGTAGAAGTTATAGCACTATTTCGGAGATCACCACATTTCCTCATCAGACTTCTTTTTTTTTCTAGACTTCAGCAGCTTTTTAGCTACTATTAGTATTATTTAGCTTTTTTTCGACCGTTTTGGCTCCAAACGAAATTTTCTCTGGCAACACTGCTTACCATGTAGCGGTAGTTTTCTAAAAGGTGAAAAAAACTATATCTAATAATTGCGCCGGGCATCTAATGGTCGGCTCTGGCCGAACTTAGACTTTTTACTAGTGGTTTTGATGGGTTTGTTGAACTTATTAAATAAAAAACAACAACGCAACATACATTAGACTATTTTTCAGTTTTGGGGTAGGGGTTCTCACCCGTTCCATAACGTAAGTACATATGCCATTATCCGTTGTATTTCGAAGTAAAATTGCTTTCTTTTTTTGTAGGTATATATTTTCAATACATATGCATATCATGTACTATGTAGGCTTGTTTGGTTTCTTCTAAGAAGACTAAAACATTTACTCCCAGTAAGGGCCGTTTTCTCAAGTAGCCTTTAACTTTAAAGACCTTATATTTAAAGGTTGCATTAAAATTTATGATTGTGTATAAAGTAAAGCATTTTACTATCGGTTTAAAATTGGTTTATATATACATACATCCAAGTCCGATAATAGAAATGCTTAACTTTACACATAGCTTTATTTTTAATCCAACCCTTAAATGTAAAGTGAGCTTTAAAGTTAAAGGTTACTTCAGAAAATGGCTCTAACCGTGAAAGAAATTCCCATCTCGAAATTCCCTAATTAATTTTTAAATATTAACAAAATGGTAACGCTGCTAGCAATATGAACAAATTATGAAGCTTCAAAAGGCCCACTATCCCTCAAAAAGTTGTTTATTGAAACTACCTTAATTTTTCTACCATGACTTGAAATAAAGTTTTTTATTTGATAAGTAACTCGGCGGCGATAGAAAGATAATAAAAATACAATGAAAGGCATACAATTTTATTGTTTTTTGTATTGAGAACTTCTTGTTTTAGGAAGCTGGTCAATAAACCAACCAATAATGCCAAGTTTTAAACAATAAAAACATTAAAAATATGCGAACGTTTCACACAAATAAATTAAATTAAATTAAATGAAACAAAAAGGATTTTTAAATACTCAAAAGCACGATTTTTTTCTGTCGGTAATACCGTCTCCAATCGGGAACAAAATTTATATGTGATATCTTCGACTAAAGTAGCATCGACTTAGGAGTTGAGGCTTAAGAAATCTGATGTAAATATTTGCTTCCTACATTTAAGGACCACCATAATGTACATATATACTTACATGTACGCACAGATGTGTGTTATAGATTCGACAGTAGAAAAAATAAGGTAGATATGCAAGAACAGTAGACATGTATGTCGTCGTTTAGAGTACAAAACCGCGTATCGTCATTCTGCAAAACCGCGTAACTGCCATTGGCTGCCAAAAATTGGATTTGCTCACACAAGCTCTTGGCTCAATCCTAATCCATTCGTCCTGAAATATACTAGGCAGATATGCGATTGCTTTATAAAAAAGAGAACCATTTTGAAATATGAGTGTTTTTACGCTCTAGAAAATAATTTCTACAACTTCACATATGTACGCGGTTTTGCATTTTGCTGATACGCGGTTTTGCACTTTAAACGACGATGTATATCGTCACCTTTCTATAGAAAGGCCCTAACTCGTTTTCTTTCAAAATTCAGCTCTACAAACGAAGGTAGATTACTGATTCAAGACTAAACCGAATTTAAATTGAACTATATATAGATTGACGCTTACCACAATGTGGCCGAGCTTCTCCTCCGATTTGTGGCGTGTTGTTACACAAAGGGGAGGGACCTACAGTTTTTCACCGACTCCGAACGGCGATTATATTTTTATGAGAAGCTGTTTTTCATGGCAGAAATAGGGTGCGTTCAAAAATCATCAAGCCAAAGCATCAGAGTCTTTTATTTCTAAACTATAATTGATGGAAATGTTTTATTTGAGCAACTAAGTTCAAATACGGCTTTTAACCGTGGTTGCGCATATTTGGCATTTCCATCAATTATAGTTTAGAAATAAAAGAGACTGATGCTTTGGCTTGATGCATTTCTGAACGCGCCCATACATTCGGAGGTTTGCCATTGCCTGCCGAGGGGCGACCGCTGTTAATAAAAAACCTTTTTTATGTATTTTTCTTGTGATGTCGCTTTGACCAGGGCTTGAACCCAGGCCCTGCGGAGTGGTAGCTCCCGACAAAAGTTATTGGGTCGATTATGGATGTCAACTCAACCGCAGTTGGGTTGCAGATGAGCAAACCCACTGAAATGAAAATTTATATTATGAATAGCACATGTAGTTAAGTTCTATAAAGTTGAAGGTAATACAATTTTGAAAAACCAGTAACTAAGACTTGAGTGTAAATAAGTTGAAGAAAGAGTTGAGAAAAGAAATAAATTATCTCAATCAAAATTTCTGCGGCAACCACAAAAATGCAGTTGCCAATATACCAACTCGGTTGCCAGCTTTCAGTTGCCAGTTGCCATCTGTAATACCATTTCAACCACTGGCCACCCAACTGAAGTTCGGTTGCATTCCGTAATCGACTGGTATATATTTTTGTCCGCAGAATCCGAATCAGTGTTACAAACATACATGTCTTATTTAAAATAATGGACTTCCGGTCAGATCAACCCACTTCCGATCGAAACCGGAAGTCGGAAATACGACCAAAAGATAAAGCATACCCATGGTGATCAATTTTAAAAGGGGTGGACGGGTAGTCTAGGACACCCTGTATCTATGTACATATGTATGTATACATGCAATGTATACAATTAACATATTGCATTATTTTTAAGAAATTAAAAAAATGCGTACATACATATCGTCGATGTTTTAGCAAAATCGCCTATGGACCAATTGCAAAACCGCCTATCTTACGGTACTCAAATTTACAGGAGAGCGAAAAAACGTTTTTTCTTTGAAGGCATTGCCTTGGTAGGCGGCATTTTCTCTAGCTATTATTCTACAAATTTGTTGTTTTAATAAAGATTATAAGATTTGTATGCATAAATCTCTATGCCTGGAGTTCAGGGTTACCAGATGTTATGTTTGCCACAACGGCGATTTTGCAAAAGCATCGACGAAATGTACTATATATGTAGCTTTAACGATTTTTTGTGTTTATTCAAAAAAATTATCACAGCCACAAATCCTCACGATATTTGCCACTAACTCTGAACGTTTTTAACGTTAATGAAGCTTCCTCCCGTGTTATTTGCTGCACTTGTGTTAAACATTTTGTAATTGCCTCCTCAATCGATTTTGATATCGAACCACCATCGGCACAGACGTACAAGATAGTATTCTTTTGCATCAAAAACTCCACAAATACTGTTGCATGAGCTAGTAATTGGTCATGAACATAGCGATAAGTAGCACTAGGCACGCGTGACAGACACTCGAAGTACCGTTGTAGCACATTACCTTTTTCCATGGCTAATATGCGATCTCTGTGTGGCAGACTTGCTTCAGTTGTAGCGCCTGCAAAAAACCAGGTATCGCCTAGTGAGGTATAAGCAACGTTTGCCAGCAATTGTTCCTTCTTCTTCAAAAACCCTAAAAAGGGTGCTAAGGCTGTACCAATACCAATCAGGATATGATTGTTTTCACTTGCTTCTTGCTCAGTAAAGCGAAATTGATTCGTTTGTCGCGGATACACTGTGATCTCGGGCAACTTTTCAGCAACTGTGCCATTTAACAAGGGTGTAGCCAAGGTTTTTAACATATTTGTGGTCACCCCTGGGTTTTGTGCGCGTATTGAAAATATAATTTTTATTTCATTAGTTTGCGGGCTATTGGCTATCGAATATGGACGCGGCAACAAACGTGGTAGGTGCTCAATTAAAATTTCTAGTGTAGGTATACATGAGGGACACAACTCCAGCAGTTCCAATAATGATAAGCCACGCTCTAAGATAAGCTCGTTGTAATAAGCGCTCCCTTCTTTCGAGGATAAACAACTCAGGAATGCACGCTCATCTGCATCCCCACAGCAGTTGGCTAGAGTAATTAGGAACTGTTTTTTTGGTATGGCATGAAAATTGAGACAATCGCGCAACAGTTGATAAGGAGTACAATGTGATGGAATGTATGGTGGTAGCTTCGCCGTTTTCTTAGTACATTTTGATGAAATTCGCAGTTGAAATGAGCTATCAGATTTATTTGATAATTGCAAACGCTCTAGCAGTGCTTGGACTTCTCTGCTGCTGTTGGATGGTAATACAGCAATAGTATCACCTGGTTGAAAATAATCACATTCCATTTGCTATTGATAATATATTTCATATTATTAACATCAACTAGTCGATCCTATTGTTCATACGATACCATTTCCGTTGTTAACTCCATTATGCACTTTTCTTTCGCTATATCCGGTACTGCCAGCATTTGTACCCCCTTAATCGGCACTTCCACGGGAAAGGTTCCGGTTCGACAAAAGGGCCAAATAAGTCCTGAACATTGTAGCTGGGCATGCTTCGTCAACTATTTATAATGAATTACTCACTTTTTACATTTTAAATGAAACTAATTGGTTACTCACCCTCAGGCTTTCCAAATCATCTGCATAGGAAACGGTGTAAATTGGCTCCGACAGCTTTGTTGGTACATATTTTTCTAATACGTAATTTTTTATATCAACTTTATCGACATCACAATTAAATGATCCAGTTGCACAAACCATTTCCTTGCTGATTTTTAAAACCTCAAGCACGTATAGTATAGCTAGGGACACGAACTTCGATACGATATGGTAACATATCGATACTTTTGGCATTCAATACAGATACTTTTTACTCGATAGTTTAAAACATTCTTTTTTGGAATACAGCACCCTAGTGCTAGTATCGAATGTCATAAACTCAAATTTTTGACAGTTGCTTTGAAGCAGAAGAATGCTATCGGGTTAGCAATTAATAGAATGCAGCAATTATAGAGAAAATATTTACCTTTGCTGATTTCAGTTCTTCTGGTACTGAAATCCATGTAATTATTATACCTTTTAGCAATAACCACTAATTTTTCTCTAATACCGCGTTCTGGCCGACAACGAAAACACTTTGAAAAGGAGTTTTGGGATTGTGGACTGAAGGCTGTTCACACCGGCTGTTAGTGTTTTCGTTGACATTTCTTGCATCCTCTGGTTACATTTTTGCTACACAAAAACAAAACCAAAATGCTTTTCCCTCATTTTCTTTTCATTAGCAACCTCTTACTTTCATTCTTATTTTACTTTGACCAGCCAATTAAAAATAAATCTCAAATAGCGTATTAAAGATGACAAAATATGACTTCCACTTCGAAGTGAAGACGCCGATTGGAATGAGTGGAACATGAGTTTTCAAGTAGTTTTCAACGAAAACTAGTTTTCGTTTGACAGATTTTACATGGACGAAAACACAAGTTTTAGGTCGAAAACACAAGTTTTAGGTCGAAAACCAGTTTTAGCAACGAAAACATGTTTTCGATGTCGGTCAGAACATGGTATAACATCCACTCGCATTGGTTTTCTTTAACTTATGTGTATACATGCACACCACAGTATATACAGTAATAAACCTTTTCGCAGTTTTTCACCAATTGGTCCCCGACAAGAATGATAGAATACAAGATTGCGCCCATGATTAAATAATACAAAGTTCGATAAACTGGCAGTTGTCTCTCTCGCACCGCTCCCTTAGCAGCGGCACCGTGTTGCTTCTCTGCAAATTTGCTTGCAAAAAGTGTAGCTTTGGTGTGAAATAGAAGTATAAGCTTTTGTGCAATATGCTTATTTGTATATGCATATGAAGCATATTTTTTCCCAGCAGGAATTTGCCACTTCCCCTCAAAATGAAATGTCAAAATTGTGCTCTCTCCTTGCAAGTGTTACTGGGCTTTTGGCTAAACGAACACGATTTCGTAACAATAGGTACCAACTTGTATAAATTTTTTGCATAGCGAACACTCCTTCAATTTCCAATTTTTGTTCTGCGTGACATTTTGATTTGACGTTTCGCTCAATGACATCAAATGCAAACGCACGCAAGCCAATTTCGGGTAACGCAAAAAAAACAAATTCGACGGCGTGCATATCAAAACGCAAGCCGCAAATATTAGGTTAGCCTGTAAGCACACCCAAGTTTGAGGAACTCCTCAAAAATACTTAACATCAAACAAATATGAATCATACACAAATGCAATAGCAATTGCTATGAATTGCTACCGTATAAATTCAAAACACGCATTTGGTTCGCGAGTGCGTTGGTCATGGCGGTCATAAGTTCAGCCAACACATTCAATGGTCCATTACCCGGAGCTGTTACAATATGATAAGTAGATTTTAGTGAACATCAGAAGCTACTGCATCCGGCTACAAGCTGGATATCTGAATATTGGAAAATAAATAGCAATTATCTTTTTAAAATGATAAGAAAAGTGTTTGTTTACAAAATTACCTGTGCCACTCAGCCTTAGTGGTGAAAGGGAGCAACACCTTTCATACCACAGTCATTTTTTTATGCAACCAGAGCGTAAGCGAAATGCGCTCACTAAAAGGGAATAACAGGAAAAAGTAAAGGAACACAAGAAGTCAAATTTCTAGTCCAAATAATGGCAACAACAAAACTAGCGTAAAATAAGAATAGAAATGTATATACAAAACACATTCACACAAGCAACACTTACTATATCAGTTATTTTTTGCCTCTTTCCAATTTCAATTCACTTTTTTGACTTTTTACATTATTCTCACTTTTTGTGTATTCTTTAATTTCCGTTAATTTAAATTCAGTTGAGTTTGACACTTTTCAAGATTTTGCCAGAAAAAATTCTTCTGACTAAATCTGACACCTTGGGACTGAAGAGAGTCAATCTCACTGAGTGTTGCTCTCTCATTTTTGCTGTCATTTTCGAGTTAAGGAACGCTTTTTGGACTGAATCTGACTACTTCGGTCTTTTCTGGCTATTATAAACCCTGATCAGATTTTACCCCCGAGGAGTACTCAAAAATGTTTATTACTGTATATGTATATTGTGCGCATCACTGTGCGCGGTTTTTGAAAATGCTGGAGCACATCCACTGTTTTTGTATGAAAGTAAAGAACTTTTTTGTGCGATTTTCTGGGGAACGCATATACCGCATAAAAAAGACATAAGTGTATATGTTTTTTAAGATGTTTGCTATATAATTATACACTGTGTAATTCATAACATTGAAAGACTTTTTCAACATGGTGGTAGCTCAGCGTTGAGTTCTAAATACTATCGGTGCAACTATTAGTCTGTTCCTTTGAACTTCGGACTAAAACCTGTGGAACTGTCAAACTACAATTTTACTCTCTCAAATGAGAGTACAAGGAGAACAGATGCAGAAGTGCATAGGAACGCAAAAAGCACTATTTCCTGTAAAAACGTCAGTCGGTTTGTTTACATGTCATTTGTACAACACTGATTTAGCTGAAATATCACTAAATAATTATTAAAATCTATACATATTCAAACATTTCGTTGTTTACTTCAATTTTATTACAAATATAAGGTGCTTTGCTTTCACCGCTGTTAGTTTTTGCTTGCACATGCAAATCAGCTGATCGTTTGACACTTTTCATGAACTTACAGGAAAAGAAACTCCGGACTAAATCCTGTAACTTCTGACTAGGAAATGTGTTCCCACTTACAGGTTTTATGTCAATAGGAACGACTTCCTGTAAGCTCTGACTAAATCCTGTAAACCGGACTGCTATTGGAACAGACTACATGTTTATTACGCCATTTCGGATTTATTTTTAACTCGCTGCCCAAAGTAAAATAAGAATGAAAGTAAGAGGTTGCTAATGAAAAGAAAATGAGGGAAAGCATTTTGGATTTATTTTGTATAGCAAAACTGTAGTCAGAGGATGTACGATATGTCAACGAAAACACTAACAGCCGGTGCGAAAAGCAAGCCCACAATTTCAAAACACGTTTTCAAAGTGTTTTCGTTGTCGGTCAGAACGCGTAAAAGATGTACTGACGAAATGTATGAATCGCGTTTTGAAAGTGCTGCACGTTCAATAATTATTGACGGTATTGCGATCCGCGATCCAGATTTCAAAATAGTTAGAAACTGCGATACGGATCACGATCCATCAATACTGCATGCTACGCCGTCAATAAATACGCGATACTTGGATCACGTCAATAAATACTGACCGTGTGACAGAACCCTATAGCAGATGCCAGATAAAACTTTGTAGCTTTCCGTGACATTAGGTTCATTCCTTATCTTTTTGGACTAAAATCTGAAAAGTGTCAAAATGCCAGAGCGTAAGCAAAATGCGCTCACTAAAAGAGAATAACAGGAAAAGTAAAGGAACGCAAAAAACCAAATTTTTAGTCCAAAGAATGGCAACAACAAAACTAACGTCAAATAAGAATGGAAATGTATGTAAAAAACACATTCACACAAGCACAAGGACAATAAACACTTACTATATCAATTATCTTTTGCCTCCTTCCAATTTCAATTCACTTTTTTTACTTTTTAGATTATTATCACTTTTTGCGTATTCTTTAATTTCCGTTAATTTAAATTCAGTTGAGTTTGACACTTTTCAGGATTTTGCCAGAAAAAATTCTTCTGACTACTTCGGACTGATGAGAGTCACTCTCACTGACTGTTGCTCTCTCATTTTTGCTGTCATTTCCGAGTTAAGGAACGCTTTTTGGACTAAATTTGACTACTTCGGACTTTTTCTGACTATTTCTGGGAGATAAGGAACGCTCCTATTAATAATTTTGCCAGCAAAGCGCCAGACGCAAAATGTATGCCACAATGAACGCCAAGAAAACAATGTTGTACCGCTTTTTTACTCATCAAAGTTGCTGTGGATTTTAATTATTCTCATAGTCATATTTAGTACTCAACTAAGCCGAAACTATTCTAAGTCACAACTAAAGCTATTCATAGTCGCCTTAGTTTCGACTTTTCTGGCTAAGTACCAACTTAAAATTTAGTTTCGGCTGCAGCTGCAAGCAAGTCGTAACTAGGAAGAAGTATTTTATCAAATTAAGGGAAAACAGACGAAATATGTAAAAATTAAGTTGGTAGAGGGTGATTTTGATAATATTGAATAATCTCCAATTAAAATTTACAAAGAACGATCCATTTTATTCGGAAGATGAAATTAAATGCGTATTACAATTCGAATAAAGCTAAATGACAAATTTATAATTGGAATAATTTAGAAAAAATCTCAAATAATAAGTCAGTTTCACGCTAGTTCTTTTAAAGTAAATTTGTGCATAACATTTAGATATATACTATTTGTATGTTTCACAGCATGCTTTCGATAAACATCGACTTCACATCACTGCGGTTGTTCTGGCTATTGCACACAATTAACAAGAAAATGATACCTTAAGTTCTGAACACATTGAAAACGACGAGCTACCGACCACAGCTTCCAATTTGTCATCTTTATTATCTAAGCGCTTTGTCGATGGCGACATGATTTCTTTGAACGCGGCAGCGACATCATGAATTTGTATGAGTTTGACATAAAAGAAGAGGAAGAACCTTATCTGTCGCCAGAAAAATAGAAATAGATCTAATCTGGCCACAACCACAGCCGTCGCGTAGCCCGGTCGTCGCCAAAATAATTATCTACATAAGAGTACGTGTTAAAATAATTTGACAGCTGTGGTTTGTAGCTCGTCGTTTTCATTGTGTTCGTACTATTATTCTTTTGCATAATCATGCAATGAAAATAAAAATTATATA